ACCGGGTGAGGCCTGAACGTGCTGCCGGCGCCTCGTCCTTCACGCCTGCGATAGCTCACGTGTCCCTGTTTCTTCCTAGAGCGCTGAACGGCAGTCTGTTACCTCTGTAAAACCAGACAAAAACGCCCCTTCCTCTCAAGAGCCGCAGACAACTAAGCAGAACACAAAAGCCCCCGAGCCCGCAGCCCAGCAGCAGGCAGCGGCCCCCGAAGCCCCCAGAGAAGTGACGAAGGAGAAGGCGGCGTCCGCTCCGATGCCGCTGAGCAAGCTCTTCTGGAAGAAGGTAGGTCTGCGTTGCGGAGCTCGTCCGCCCCACAGCTCCATCTTCGCGCAGCCTCTGGAGCTACGGCCGAGCATGGCGTCGCACGCTGAACGCGTGAGGGGCGTAAACGATATATGCGGTTACAAATGCCGTCGTGAGCTTTGGGCAGTCGCATACACACGTGGCTAATAACGGCAGTCAGACTCCTGCAGAAGAATCTTATAAAACTGTAGTCTTTTAAGCTTGTTTATACTATTTTTGAATGATATTATGGAAGAAGGAATATTGCTCTGTCAATTCAACACACACTTGTTAAAAATCCTACAGAGATTATAGTACTCTTTACCAAATCATGGCATTAATAGAGATATAGCTATAAAAACACGTTTCACTTTTGAGAACTGTTTGATTTAGTTCTGAATGTCTGAAAACCTGGAATCTGGTGGGTTTATTCTTACCCAATAGAAAAATTTCATACCAGAGTGGATTGGCCTTTAAGTTGGGGCATTGAGGTTGATTGCTTAGGAAGACATATTTTTCCTCAGGTTAAATAACAATTTTAAGTAAAATTAGAACTAACTTTGAAAACATGGATCGTGTTTCCATGATCCTCAGTGGTTTATAAGCTGAAGGCTTATTTGTTTCTCATCTCGTTTAAGAGAAGAGCTGTATTAAACTTTAGTGAACCACTGTATGTTGAATAACTGCTTCTCTGGGCTTCTGTTCAAGTTCAAATCCCAGAAATGAAATGCTTCCAAACACACAGATGTTGACTGAGCAGCTAGCCCTGCAGCTTCTTTAGTTATATTCTCCCTACGGGGCAGTGATTCTGGAGATACAGTTTGGATATGTTACTTACATTAAAAAAAAAACAAAGGTGTTTAGATATTTACAGAGTAAACATGCTTGAAAACAATCTAAGCTTGAAACTTTTGTTACTTGGACTTAATTTCCTGTGGAACTGGGTGAATCAAGTACTTTAAAAGAGAGGAAAGCTGTGAAGAAGGGTAGGGAGGTTTCTTATATAGTTACTATTGCTATGGAAACCTCCTCTGCGTAGTCTAGCTTATTAGAAAACAGAGGTGGGAAGCAGGATGTATGCTGAACATCAGGATGAAATAAGAAAAAAAGAGGCCTTCTAGCAGACGGTTGTATGCTATTTCAGTATAAAACAGAGTAATAAATCTGGTCTGAAGTTCAGTATTTTCCTAATGAAGTAACAAGGCCTTTTGTGTATTTGAGAAAGAAAGAAAAGGCATGTAAGAAGGGAAAGTTCTCATGCAGAAAAATAGTGAAAAATCACTCCTGGTGAGGAGTGATTGGTAGCAATGGTTGGTTTAAAAAAAAAAAAAACAACCTGACTCCGATAAGGTTTTGGTAAGATTTCAAAACCTTATTTTGAAAGATTAACCCAAACCAGTGTAGCTGTAGATATTTTACTGCTCTGTATAATGTAGGCTCTGCTCACGGTGAACACCAGCTCCCCGTGTCTCGTAGCTAAGCTAAACTAGGTCTAGGTAACTACCCTGTGTCTTTTTAACCTTACAACAATCTTCACGTGAAGTTCTGGGATCTCAAACAACTCAAGGGTATAAACCTTGTACCAAAATTTTGTCTTTCACTTCTGTTTGTTCATGACATTGGGTTTAATTTATCCTACTTCATCACTTAAAATAGCTACTTACATCAGTGAATGGAAAGCGTAGAGAGCTCTCTACAACTCTGAGCAGGTTTTGGTGGCTACCAAAAATATTAAGGGTTAGTTAAATCATTTCCCCAAATGCACTGAACTACAATAGTATGTGAAATCTGACTTTTAACTTTCTAAAATGAGGCTATTTCTGCTTAGTTAGAACTTCTTGGGTCTGTCATCGTCCCAAGACTGAATGTTTTTGCAAGTTTTCTGGAGTAAATTTCTGCGGTAGAGAACTGAATTTGGTCCTAAGGATTTAAAAAAACAAAAAATCTGCCTGCTTGAGCAGTGAATCTTTACCTATAAAGGGCTGATGTTGCGTTACTGGATTTCCTTGACAGAGAATAATATTGTATTTCCTTTGATGAAAGACCTTGGTGACCCAGGCAGCGTGAAGCTAAAAAAAAGAAAATTAGGATGGATGTATAAAAAAAAGTCCTTAGACTACAGGTTAGCCTCAAACTCAGCTTGGTTTGGGATTCTGTCTTTTTCAGTGATTTTATCTCTCTTTCTGGCACTCTTCACGTACTGCCCTTTTGCTAGGATAGAGAATCAAAGCTAGCGACTGTTCCAAATAGGTGTAAAATTCAGTCGTGTAGCTTTTTCTGTCGAACTAACAAATAGCAACCACAACACTGAATAGATCCAGGATTCAGATCTAACTTCTCTCTTTCCGGGCAGTCTCTTTTCTATCTTCTGATGAGCTTTCACTTCAAAGTAAACTTAATGAAGTGCCTGTCAACACATTGCAGTTAATGCTGCTGCTCTGACTCCAGACAAATAAACATGTAAAAGAAAAAGAAATAAAATTTTTATTCAACTCCTTAGATGGAAACCACTTTGACTGTATTTGCCCCATTTCCTGATCAGTCTGCACGAGAATTTTCATAACTGTTACTCAAGTGTTTGTCATACCAGCATTTTTTTCAAATACTAGGGAGTATTAATAGAAAATTACAGCTAGTAATTTCACATATTTGTGTTGGAAACCTGGTTTTCAAGACCTTGTAGATATCTGATCGGGGTAGAGAAACATGACAGTTCGTTTGTATCTGATCAAAGCATGCTAGTAAATGATGGATGAAAGTGATTGAGGGAGTATTATTTAGACTGCTCTGTGAATTACCTGTAAAAGTGGATATATTTTTTAAAAGCTAGAATTTTAAGCTGTTGCAATTCTGTTGCCATACAAACACAGAAAAACCTTTCTACCGAGGGGCATTTATGCACTGACAATGCAAACAGCAAACCAGTTAGCTATTAAGGGAAGCAGAATAACACCTTTTATTGCTGAGCCTGCAACCATACCCTGCCATAGGAAAGCAAAGATAAAGATTTGGGTGGAGTGTGAGATAAATCCTGGGCAGTTTTGGCATTTATCAAGTTCCCGTATATTCCAGGCTGGGAGCAGTTTACCTGGAATTTACCAGGAGGGCAGGAGATTCTGGCCATTTTTTTGCTGGGTAAATGGATGAAGAAACTTTAACGAGAATGCCCCCTGGTTGAGGGATTGAGGAGGACAATAAGCAACGGGCTTTTGGGGGCCACTTCACAGCCTGACTGCTGGCATAGCTGCCAGCCTGACAGCAGGGAGGGGGTTAACCTCAACCTGCTTAACCAGGCTTAACCTCCTCAAGCCAGCGAATAAGACCACTGGGACTTGTGAGTCAGAACCACGCTCCTGGGCTGTTCACAGACCGTGATGGTTTAACCACGAGCTGACAGGGGTTAGTACTAACTGGTTAGCAGTCTGAGCTGTTAGAGCTCGGGATGTGCTGAGTGGCACCTTCAGGCAGCAGCTGTAGGTCACCGGGGGCTTCAGCGTGGAGGTCCGCGAGCACACTGATGGCTGAAGCTGAGCTACCTCACCTGCAGCAACCTCGTCGCCTTCCCACGGGCAAAGGAGGGCAGGAAGGTGGGTTAACGTCTCTAACCCTATCTGCTTCCTGCCTGCGAGTCTGTGAGCGGCAGGAACAGAACCCAAGCACGGCTGCTCTTTTAAGTGGAAATGTCCTGAGCAAAAGGTCATCTCTCATATATATTGTTAAGCTAAAAGAAAATCCGATTCATAAAGAAGGCATGACCCAGGAAAAAGAAGAACAGTTCCTTGAGCCTGATGAAACGCAGTGGAGAGTGCCCGTTCAGACTCTAGCAGAAGATCAAAGCAGGGTACAATGTTTACCTCGATTTTGCGGAAAGATGCAGCAAGCAAAAGGAAAACTCCTATCAAAGTTATCCAGGTCACAAGATAAGTTACACTCTAAGGTGACAGTTTGTATGGTCAGGAACCTGGATAAGAAAATAGTATCATAATAGTTCCCCAAAACAAGAACCAGAAGAAGATGCAAAGAGTAGATGCAAACTTTCCACCATGACTGTTTTAAATAAGTTTATTACTAGGGGAAAACTAGAGACACCATCCTGTAGGAGAAGGAAGAATGCTTCCCAAACATAGTGAAACAAAGAGCCTAGTAAAAAGTAAAATACTCTCTGTGGTGCATAACAATAGCTGCTGACTTAGGCTGAACTTATTACAATTTGTGTCTAAGGAAACTGGAAGCAGATTTTGGACCCACGAATCCAGCAACCTCAGTTGATGCAATTTATAGGTATAGGGTGATTAATTATATTTATGAGCATGCTTATGCATTAAAGACCCAGGAAGGTGATGGAGCTGGGCTGTTTGCAAATTATTATTATCTACAAACTGCAGTTTCATCCTAAAACTAGCCACAAGACGTGATATCGTTTTTGTCTGTCTTCCAGATGAAGTAAAAAAGCAACTTAGCCCATTGCTCTAGAGAACTGTTTAGGTTAATGTAACATCGTTCAAAGTTTATGGATATTTTTTTATCTTTGTCAAACTCCTCCTACTACACTTTCAGTTCCTGCCAGAAACACCTCGGTAATTCTCTTGAATGCACAAAAGGAAACTTTTCTTCCAGTTTCTTAGGGGAAACAGGAACAAAAATTAAAAACTCTGTTCTTAAAAGTATGTCAGAAAACCTTCTTAGCTGAAAGGGGTTTTCCCTTCGACTGAAAGGCCATGCACAGGCATTCTCTGCATCTCTGAAGTACACAATATACCATGGTCGTGTGTCATCCGCCTCCAAGAATCTGCCACCTTGATCAGTTTTATCTGAGAGGATTTTGTGATGTCTCTAGAGTTTCCTTTTCTCTCAGCATATCTGAATACCCTGATCTGATTGCATGGCAGTTGTGGAACCTCCAGCCTTGGAGATACTAAAAGCTCAACTTTGGGCGGGAGGTTGGACTAGGCCTCCAGATATATATTTGAGATCACAAAATCGTAAGAGAATATCTTCAGCATCAGTTAATTCAGTCTTACAGAGGGAGGTGGATATACAGGAATGATTCCTGGAGTTAATTATAATAAATATATCATAAAATTTTTAATAGCAAGCCTAAAATCTCAAACAAAATAACATGTAACTTCTGCAACAACCTTGTTATGCCTAATAGTACCAAATTAAAGTAACTGCATAGGTACATTGGGTATTGAAATTTAAAAAAAAAAAAAAAGTAAAAATAAGGTATTCTAAAACAGGATTTAAACTTTTTTAAAGCCTCCCAAGGAAGCTATCAAGAAACGTACAAAAAGTCACTGATTACTTTAAATCAATCTCTCTGAATAGTTGACTATGACTTAGCTCTTTTCTTTATTTAAATAGACAGTGCTTTTCAGAGTTTGGCATCTCACCCCAGGATGCATTTGTTATCAGTAGTGACACTAAGGCCATTGCATAGACATAGATTGAGAGACAAAACTCATTAGGGTTGCAGCTGTAACAGCATAGCAGTAATATGATCCCAAACTGTAATCTTTGAATGATGAGCTCCCAGAAGCTAGGCTGCTGCTTTATTGAGCCACTGTGTCAACTCATGCAATGAATCATTTCCTTCAAGCAAATAGATGGTGAATTGATTATATGTATGTGTGAATAGGCAGAAATATAGATTAAAATTATTATAGATTGATTATCTCCAAAATGTTCATAAATATAAATTAAATCTACAATTCTATGGGGAAGGAGGCTGTGCTGCAGTCATCTCAGGCAGCAAGGGATGAAGAATATTTATTCCCTCATCATTCTTCTCCCTCCTACCCTACCCCCAAAATGCTTGTTTCTGCCACAAAAGAGGAGTAAAGAGCAAAGCAAAATCTCTCATGTTCCTGTAGAAGTTCATGGTGAGTCCCCATCTTGCATGTAGGATCCCCCCAACTCAAAAGGAATGACAGAACTAAAAGGTAGTTTTCTCTCTACTGGGAGAAAAATGCATAAATATATTGAATAGCTTCTGTATCGAGAACTACATAAATTAGGATTTTTTTTTTTGGCTCAGAAAGGAGTTGGTGGAAAGGCAGATGACAGTGGCATACAGAATGACTACTGTAACATAACATAAAAGGTGAACAGGAAAAATAAGTTGTTGCTCAAACTAAAAGCAGTAGAGTATCAAATGAAATTATATAGTGACAAACAAAGTAAGTACTTTTCTTAAAAAAAAAAACAAACAAACATTCTTTAGCTGTAGGATTCTTTGCCACAGGATGCTGCTGGATGTCAGGAACTTATATCAATTCAGAAGTTATTTAGCTAAATTTCTGTAGGAAAAAAAAACATCATGGGCTATTAAACTAAAGATACTACATAGGAATCACTGAGCTGAAGGCAATTAGAAAAGTATATGAGGGCAGTAGTAATGTAAGCTGCTGCTGGAGGAGGCATCCTTTCTTGCCACTCTGAGTCAGGATCTGGGGCTGCAGAGAATCTTTGGTGTTATCTTTTAAATTGTTCTCATGTTCATGTGGCTAAAATTAATTTGGACAAAATAACTAAGAGTCTGCATTACATGTGAGTTCCTGTAAGTACATGTAAAAATTGTGAAATATAAATAATTGAGACTTAGTTACGTCAGTTCTTTCCTACAGTATACATTTCAGCTGTAACTATGCTGTGTTTTTAAGCAGCAGCAGCATGTGCTGAAATGCCAATACCTAGGGTAACTGCTTCTATTTGATTCCGTACTGGAGGCTGAGTGCGCAACTTACCCTGCTCTTATGAGGTTCTGTGCCTTTCCGCAATAAGCTGCAAAATGATAAAGGGCTTGCTTCAGGTCAAATTACCTGGCTCTTAGCATAAGAGCTTCTTTTTATGGCCGAAAGGAAGATACTTCTTTATGAAATTACAATGGGATGGGAATTAATTAGTAGTTCTTGAGGGCACAGAAGAATGTTATTTACCATATTTACCAGGGCAGAAGAGTCAGCTAAGAAACGCATGCTCAGCCTCCTGCCCAGCTGTGCCTCCACCTCCCACAGCAGAAATGTGCCTCCAGTTTGCACACTCTGCACTGCACAGGTCATCTTGCTCATTAAACACACCGAGCATTCCCCGGATAGCCTTGAGAAGGCTGTGCAATGAGGCATGCAGGAGATTAATCAATAAATCTTATGGGGTTCCATATTTCAGAGGAATTTACAAACTGCATGCCAGTGGTTAAAGTACTGTTATAACAGAAGGAACTTCCCAGTAGTTCACAAAAGCACAGTGGGACCCAAACTCCTACAAAGGCAACGTTGCTGAGCACCCAGCAGCTTTGCCTGAACACAAATGAGGGTCATCACTATCAAAGAGGGTGACTGTGACCCGTGGGATTAAGTGAAGTAATAGATGACTTCTTGAGGTACAAGGTAGTTAAGTAGCTCATTTTATATCTTTGCAACTGGGAAGAGGAGCAAGTGCCGTGAATGCGACCAGCCTGGGAACGCTGTGGCTGGGACCTTGTACCTTCTGTATTTCACACTCTATGGGTGCTAAATGGAGTTTTAATGATTAATAAATTGCATGGTGTGTTTTAATTACTTCATCCTTCTCTTTCTTTCGTGTGCAAGCTCCTGGGTGTGATCTTTCTCTCTTTTACTGGTTTTATCTGAGTGTCATCTACTCATGGCACGTGCTATTGTAAGTGCAAGTGATTTTAAGTTATCTTTTAAGATCATAATCAAAGATAAATTATTGTGTTTGGGAGCTGGTAGTGCAATTGAAGAAAGGCTTTTTCTTCAGTTTAAACAAGTGCTTAAAACCCTCCCAGCTTGTGTACTTTTTTAAATCGGGATGAATCAAACTCCTGAGGAAACCTGTACAGTGACGCTGACGTTGCTTTCATGTCACGTTTGCTCCTCATGTACTAAATTCCTGTACTGCGGAAGCACTTGGGTTGTAACCTCTTAAAAAAACAAACACCTCACTGATTAGGCCTTCATGCTTTTTTCCACTTTCTTAACGTTTGCCCAAAATAACCGCAGAACGCGTCGGAAGAGGCAGAGGTGGGGAGCAGTGAAAAAGCAGACGCGTCTCTAGAAGCTGCGGCTCCTGCCAAGGACGAGAGCGGCAGCCCAGAAGCTGCAGAAGCGAAACCCAGGAGAGAAGAAAGTAAAACCCCCAAGGCAAACCTGAGGAAGTTTTTTAAACTGGTAAGCGAGACCCGCGAGTGCCAGCTGGGCGCTGCGTTCGCTGCGAGGCCGCGGGGGGCGATTCTTGGAAAAAAAAATCTTTTGCGGGCGGTAAGAGTGCGTGACCGAACCCGCGCCCCAGGCCAGCGGCGTGGCCGTGGGGGGAGC